AAAGAACGCGAGGACAACGGCTCCTAGGAACTAAGGTGCGTGAGTCCCTTCGAGTGAAAAATCAAAAGTTGATTTCCTGGGGTGCGGAGATGCACGGTCAGAAAAGAAAGAGGCTCTGAATACCAAATGTTACGGGTGCAATGAATCGAGGTAGCGAGAATTGCACTAGGGTGTCAAACAAGTACAACATGTGAGCGAAGGCATGAGCGAACATTTATACGCGAAACATGCAAACGGTAACGCGGTGCGTGCGAGCTAGCTAGTGCTATGCTTGATGGAAAGCGCGTGAATCTGGAGAGCGTATAAGAGATTAAGTCCGCCGACTTCGACGGAACATTGCGTGCAGCTCACGTAACCTTAAACTATGAGCAGGTACGCGTTGGAACGGTCTCAATCTCTACTTTCCAGAATGGTAACGCACGTTTTCAACCAAGATCTAGGTCGATCGCTATCGCGATTTAAGTGCGATAGTGTATTCTGCCGGAATTAGTAGGCAGCCATGGATTAGACCAAAAGACTAGCTTTAGCAAGAGTTCAGATCTGAAAAGTGACGAGTTGTTCAAACCCTACCAACCCAACCCTCGCCCTACAACAATCTCCAAGAACCCAAAGTGCTAAACTAGCAACACCAAAGGTGTTGTAGTGAATAGCAAAGGTTTGTTGGTGCTTGTTGGGTGCGAGATCAATACCAGCTCAAGTCTAACCACCACATTTTGCCCAAACCCTTAGCCCACAACCAGCTAGAGCAAAATACCACAACCACCTACACAATCAACACTCCCCCTTGCTCGTGCTGGAGGTGGCTGAACACCACTGGGCAAAATCCTTCACTTCACTCCCCCTTGCTCAGGGAAGGGCGCCATCCACAGCATGAGGTCGTCATGCAGAGAAGCACCAGTCCTCCCACATCCTGCTCAGGCACCATGCTGACATGGGGCTGCATCCCCATCAAGGACATGCACACACCATGCCACTCAAAAGGGAGGGGTTTGGTGAGTATATCTGCTGCTTGACGGTTGGTGGGGCACCACCGGAGGATAACCTTGCCGCACGCCACCATCTCCTTGATGAAATGCCACCGAACTTGCATGTGCTTGGTGCGGCCATGCAAGCATGCATTCTGTGCAAGGGCAATGGCAGACTGATTGTCCACAAACACAGGCACACCACCAGCAAACTCATGCCCAAACTCCCCAAACAAATGCTTCAGCCACACACCCTCCTGAATGCATTCACACAGACTGATGTACTCACTCTCAGTGGTGGACAATGCAACCACCGGCTGCCTCTTGCTCTGCCAAGAGATGGCTACACCATTGAGGCAATATACATAGCCGGTGTGACTCTTACGATCAGCTGAATCTCCAACATAATCAGCATCACTAAAGCCCACCAATTCGACCAGAGGCTTGCTGTGTGTGGGGTAGAAGATACCTGACTTGACACAACCTTTCAAGTACCTTAGCACTCTGTTAGCAGCCTGCACGTGAAATGCCTTGGGACAAGACACAACCTTGGACAGCTGTGACACTGCATAAGCAATCTGCGGCTGTGTGGTCGTGCTTGCATACATGAGAGACTCCACAATGCTTTGATAGAGCCGGACCAGCTCATCTCTCAGCAAGGGCTCCTCAGCATGTGCATGTACGTCGAACCCTGCGAGGAGAGGGGTACGCACGGGGTTAGCCTCTGAAAGCCCGAAGGACTCAAGCATATTGAGAATGTACCTCTCCTGATGAATCAAGATGCTACTCTCATCATGCTCAATCTGCACCCCCAAGTAGTACTTAGCCTCCCCCAAGTCCTTCATGCGGAAACAAGAGGACAAGAGACCCTTCACATCCTCCAGCAAGACCATGCTCAAAGACATGAGCAGAATGTCATCCACATAGAGGTAAAGGGACAGCCTGCCCTCATGCCTCACCAAGTGGTACAAGGCGAGGTCACACTCCGACCTCTCAAACCCAAAATCCATCAGCGCCTCATCAAACTTGAGGTATTATTGTTTTGGAGCTTGCTTTAGCCCATAGATTGATTTCTTGAGTCGGCAAACTCTGCTGGACCCATCATCAAAACCAGGTGGCTGCCTCATGTAAAGCTCCTCTTTCAAGACCCCATGAAGATAGGCGGTGGTCACATCCATGTGATGGATGTGAGACCCCAAGGATGCTGCCATCCCAAGGGAACCTCTCAGGGTGGTAGGTTTACCCACCGGGGTATATACCTGGTCATAGTGAACGCCTCGTGTTTGAGTGTTCCCCATGGCCACCAACCTAGACTTAGGCCTCTCAATACTCCCATCAGCCATGTGCTTATCCTTCCACGCCCACTGACACCTCAAGACCTCCATTCCAGGTGGCACACAAGCTGGATCAACCAGCTCAAAAGACTCGTTCACCCTATGAGACTCAAGCTCCTCACGCATGGACTCGACCCACTCAGGACGGGACAAGGCCTCCTTGACCAACTTAGGCTCATGCACCTGACCCATGAGACAGAAATCAAGCCCAAGCTCACCCCCCTCAGCATCCACAAGCATGCACTCCTCCATATCATGCACCTCATGATCATGCATGCAAGCATACTGTGCACTTGGTGTGAACCTTTCGGGTGGCCGGGAGATGTGTGTGGTGCGGCGCAGAGGTGATGCCTCCCCCTGCTCCAAACTTTGCAACTTCTCCTTCCAAGTCACTCTCTTCATAGGGGACCGTAGTGACTTGGACAGCTGCTGCTGCAGTATTTCCTGCCACCTACCCACAGGAACAGGTGGTGTATGCTCCTGTGGTGGCTGCTGCGGCTTCTCTTGTTGTTGCTGCTGCCCCTGTGGCTGCTCCGGGTCATGGGCTGGTGCGTTAGGGTCAGGGGTAGAACCAGCAGTTGGTGACTCCTCATGGTGAGGTGCAGCTGCCTTTTGTTCCTCTTGCTGCTCCTCTACCTCCTCTCCAGGGTCCTCCCATGCCCCCTCAAAGATGGAAGAGGTGTAGGGATCCTGAAGGGAGTTCCCAACTGTACTAGCACCATGCTCTTTCCACCCCTTATAGCTCAGCCCCTCGTGGAAAACCAGATCCCTGCTTTCCACCACCCGCTGATCCGCCACACTCCACAACATCCAAGCTTTGCTCCTCTCCGACACCCCAAGAAAAATGCCCCATTGTGCCTTAGGATCCAGCTTCCTCCGTTGCTAGTCGGGCACTTTGTATTGCGCCATGCACCCCCACACTCGTGCCATGGACACACTAGGCACCTTCCTGGTCCACATGAAGTAAGGGCTCTTGCCCCCTAGCCCCTTGCTGCCCATTCTATTCTTAACCCAGTTGGCATATTGCACTGCTGCCCCCCACCAAGTATGGTCCAGCTGCGCATGAGCAAGCATGGCTCCGGCAAGGTCAATGAGGGTCCGATTTAGCCGCTCCGCTGCCCCATTTTGCTGGTGGGTGATGCCCTTGTCTTCAAGGAAAGACTCCAGATCATTCCCCATGTACTCCCCACCCCAATCGGACCTAAGTTTTTTCACCTTGGCCCCGGCTTCTTGTCAGAACATTATAGCTTATGCTGTTGTGTAGGCTATAGTGGGGTATCCCATAGGGGGTACAACCCAATTAGGGTTGGTACTTGTACTCACACATTTCATAGTTCATTCATTCGTTTTCTTTCTTTTTACATGGAATCAGAGCAGGTTCCCTCCTAGGGACTGCTTCTAGGGCCCACCGAAGCGCGCCCCGAGGCGCGTTTTCTTTTTTTTAGCGACCCTCCGTGTTGCCCCTAGCGGCCCGTCGCGCCGCCCTTACCTACGCGGCCCCGCCGCCCATACGTCGCGGCCCCGCCGCCCTTACTTACGCGGCCCCCCCCGCCCTTACCTACGCGGCCCCGCCGCCCTGCACTTCGCGGACCCGCCGCCCTTCATTCGCGGCCCCGCCGCCTTACACGTCGTGGCCCTGCCGCCCTGCACGTCACGGCCCCGCCGCCCTTCCTTCGCGGGCCCGCCGCCCTGCACGTCGCGGCCCTGCCGCCCCCTGCTTACGCGGCCCCGCCCCCCTTCCTTCGCGGCCCCGCCGCCCTGCACTTCGCGGCCCCCCCGCCCTTCATTCGCGGCCCCGCCGCCCTTCCTTCGCGGCCCCGCCGCCCTTCCTTCGCGGCCCCACCGCCCTGCACGTCGCGGCCCCGCCGCCTTGCACGTCGCGGCCCCGCCGCCCTTCCTTCGCGGCCTCGCCGCCCTGCTCGTTGCGGCCCCGCCACCCTTCTACCGCGGCCTCGCTGCCCTGCACTTCGCGGCCTTGCCGCCCTGCTAACGCGGCCCCGCCGCCCTTCCATCGCGGCCCCGCCGCCCTCTGTTATGCGGCCCCGCCGCTCTGCTACAGCGGCCCCGCCACCCTGCACTTCGCGGCCTTGCCGCCCTCCCTTAGCGGCCTCGCCACCCTGCACTTAGCGGCCCCGCCGCTCTTCCTTTGCGGCCCCGCCGCCCTCAGCTCCTCGCCCACTGCACCACCCTGCATCGTGCACCCGAGCAGCCGACCGCCGCGCCGCCGAGTACCGGGAGAGCCGAGCCGCCCTGCAGCTGCGCAGCCGAGCCGCCCAACAGCCGAGCCGCTGAGCCGCCCAGTAGCCGAGCTGCCGAGCCGCCGAGCCGCCCGATCGCCGAGCCGCCCTGCCGCCCTGCACTCAGCCGCCGAGCCACCCCGCAGCCAAGCCGCCCTGCAGCCGAGCCGCCCTTCTGCCGAGCCGCCTGTCCTGCCCCGTCTGGTGAGCACGCCCCTCTGCTACTGCGTGCCCTGCCCCCCACTGCTTGCACTGCTAGTCTGTCGTCATGGCTACCCCCAGTGTCCTCGCTTTTGACACTAAGGGTCGAGCCATTGACTTTGAGGTCTGGGTCGACGAACTGCAGTTGTTTTTACAGTGCGATAGGGCGGACGGTCTTTCTCTCTTTGACCTCACCTCTGGCGCCTCTCCTGCTCCTGTTGCTGATGCTGACCCCACTGTGAGCTCTCAGTGGGCCACTCGCGATGCTGCTGCACGTCTTGCTGTGCGTCGCCACCTCCCTACCACTGAGCGCGCGCACTTTAGTCAGTACAAGAGTGCTCAGACCTTGTACGACGCTGTAGTTGCGCGCTACTCTTCCCCTGCCACTACTGCACTGAGCCGCCTCATGCTACCGTACCTCTTTCCTGACCTTGCTGCCTTTCCCACAGTCGCTGACCTCATTATGCACCTCCGCACTAGTGACACCCGCTACCGCGCCGCCCTTCATGCTGAGTTCTGCGCTAAGAACCCCCCACCGATGTACATCGCTCTCTATTACATAGTCACTCGCCTCCCTGACTCCCTTCGCGTAGTTAGGGACCATTCCCTCTCAGTCTGTCCCACCACTCTCACTGTTGACCTCCTCGAGAAGGCCCTCCTAGCGGCAGAGAAGAGCATAGTCGCTGTAGGAGCTTCTCGTGGAGACCCGCGCACCCCCATCTTTGAGGGGTGTTCTCCTTCCCCCCTGCTGCCCTCAGTTGCCTTTCCTGCTGCCGCCGACCTACTTGGTCTTGAGTCGGTCGGCGCGGCGTCTGCTCCTAGCGGGAGACGCCGCTCAGGCAGAGGCAAGGGGGGCAAGGGCGCGAGTGGAGCTGGCGGGGGCGGTGGAGGTAGCGGTGGAGGCGGCGGAGGGAGTGGGGGTGGCGGTGGGAGTGGTGGCGGGGGTGGTGGCGGTGGTGGCGGCAGCGGAGGCGGAGGCGGTGGCGGCGGCTGTGGTGGGAGCGGAGGCGGCGGTGGTGCCGGAGAAGGAGGCGGTGGTGGCGGAGGAGGTGGAGCCGGTCGGGGTAGTGCCCCGCAGCGGAGCGGCTCTGGTGGTGGTCAGCGCCAGCGGCAGCAGCAGCAGCAGCGTTCTCGGGACATCCCCCCGCCTCAGCAGCTCCGTGAGTGGTACACGCAGCGTCAGCGTGGTGGAGGTTTTGGCCCGTGCACCTACGTTCTTCGTTCCAGCGACCGCGCGGGTGAGCAGTGTGGGGGTGCCCACTCCACCCAGCGCTGCTTTGGCCGCCTGTCGGACGCCCGGCGTCAGCAGTTCCCCGAGGCTAGTGAGATCCCCCGCTGGGGAGAGCTGTCTAGGGCTGGCGTAGCGATCTTTGATCTTGACTTTGATGCTATCCTTGCTGCCATGTATGCTGTGACTATTAATGATGAGGGTGACTGTTACCGGTGTTTCCCCCCCGACCCGGGCATTGGTACTGCTGCGCTAGGTGCTTGTGAGGCTGCTGCTCTAGGTGCCAGCGTGTATGCGCTCTCAGGTACTGGTGAGGCTGCGCTCTCAGGTACCGCGTCGGCTTCGGCCTCCTTCACCTTCACACTTGACTCCGGGGCTTCTCGCTCCTTCTTTCGGGACCGCACCACGCTCACGCCGCTTGGCCGGCCGGTTGCGGTCTCCCTGGCTGACCCCTCTGGGGGTCCTGTCCTCTCTCACTTCTCCACTGTCCTCCCGTGTCCAGCTGCCCCCTCGGGCACCCTGTCTGGTCTGTACCTCCCCTCGTTCTCGACAAACTTGGTGAGTGGTGCTGACCTACAGGATGCGGGGGTTCACCAGTTTACTCCTGCGAGTCAGCGGGTGACCCACTACACGGACGCGCGCACAGGCCGACACCTGGCCACGTTCTCCCGTCGGCCGGGGTCGAGCCTCTACACCCTGACCACTGAGTCTCCTCCTGTCCCTGTGTCTGGCCAGGTAGCTGCGTCGGGTCAAGTGTTTGCTGCTGCGTCCAGTTCTAGTCCTGAGTCTGCCCCCTGCTCGTGTCGCCTCCTGTCTTACGAGACTCTCCTGTGGCACCACCGTCTTGGCCACCCCTCCTTGCCTCGTCTCAGGGACATGGCTTCCCGTGTCCTTGTCTCTGGTCTCCCTCGGTCTCTCCCTCCCCTTCCTTCGGGGCCTGGACCTTCCTGTGTCCCCTGTGTCGAGGGGCGGCTCCGGGCTGCCCCTCACTCCTCCCAGTTTCCTCCGATAGAGGCTCCTCTGCAGACGCTTCACATGGACGTGTGGGGCCCAGCCCGCGTCTGTGGACAGGGTCACGAGCACTACTTCCTGTTGGTGGTTGACGACTACTCGCGTTTCACCACAGTCTTCCCCTTTCGCAGCAAGGGTCATGTCACTGAGGTGTTGATCGACTGGATCCGCGCAGCTCGTCTCCAGCTCAGGTCGAGCTTCGGCTCGGACTTTCCTGTTCTGCGCCTGCATTCTGAACGAGGCGGAGAGTTCTCCTCTCACCTTCTGCGAGCCTACTGTTGTGCACGAGGCATCCGCCAGACCTTTACGCTTCCGGACTCTCCGCAGCAAAATGGGATTGCTGAGCGCCGCATTGGCATGGTCATGGACGTCGCTCGTACGTCCATGATGCATGCAGCTGCCCCCCATTTTTTGTGGCCGTTTGCGGTTCGGTACGCGGCGCATGAGATCACCTTTCACCCCGGGGTTTCCCGGCCGGGGAAGGGTACCTCCCCGGCTCTCCTGTGGACTGGGAAGGTCGGCGATGCGTCTGCGTTCCGTGTCTGGGGATCTCGGGCGTTTGTCCGCGACTTGTCTGCGGACAAGCTGTCCCCTCGTGCTGCTCCCTGTGTCTCTCTTGGCTTCCCCCCTGACGCTCCAGGGTGGGAGTTCTACCACCCCTCCTCTCGTCATGTTCTGTCCTCCCAGGACATCACGTTCGACGAGTCAGTCCTTCCTTCCCCCCGCAGCCGCACTTCCTTGTGCCAGGTCCCCCCCCGGTAGACCCCCTTCCCCCTCAGGGTCCTGCCCCTTCAGGTGTGTCCCAGGTTGACGAAGTAGAGCCGGTCGAGGTTGCTGGTGACTCTGGTACTGTTGCGGGTGCTGAGCCTTGGGGTGCTGACTCTGGGGGTGCCATGCGCATGGGTGCTGAGCCTGGGGGTGCTGAGCCTGGGGGTACTTCGACTGAGGGTGCTGAGCCTGGGGGTGCTGATCCTGGGGGTGCTGCCACCTGGGGTGCTGAGCCTGGGGTTGCTGAGTCTGGGGGTGCTACGCTAGAGGGTGCTGAGTCTGGGGGTGCTACGTCAGGAGCTGCTGAGCCTGGAGGTGCTGCGTCTGGAGCTTCTGCGCTTGGAGGTGCGGAGTTTGCCGCCGCTGGACCTCCCCTTGTGGCGTCTGGTAGTGCTCGGCCTGGTGGTTCTCCGGGTGCTCCGTCTCGGAGGCAGCCACTCTCTCCACAGGAGCTGCGCGAGTGGTTTGCTTGCCGCTGGAGGCGTACTGCTAGAGGTGGGGCTTCTTCGGCAGCTGAGGGTGCTGGTGCCGCCGGTCCCGGAGTTGCTGGGCCTGCGGGTTCTACTGGAGCTGGAGCTGCTGAGGGTTGTGGTGCTCAGACTGCTGCTGTCTGTCCCGGCGGTGGTCCTGCTTCTGGTGCTGCTGGAGGTCCTGCCACTGGAGGTGCTGTTTGTGCTGGTGCTGCCGCTGGGGGTGCTGGTGCTGTCCCTGCTGTGTCTGGAGTCCCCGCGCGGCCTCGGTCGTACTTCGTTCCACTCCTGCAGCAGAGTGTCCACCACCTATCCAGTCCCAGTCTCTGATAGAGCCCGCCTCTCCACTGCCTGCTCCCTCTCCTTACACTCGTCCTACTTGAGGTCTTGCTGAGCGTCGTGAGCCTGCGTCTCGTCCCGCGTCGCCTGTTCGTGCTGCTCGTGCTAGTGGTCGCGGTTCGCGTCAGCGTCCTCCTCCTGTCCCTGGCATGCACCGGATGTCTCTGCGTTTGTCCACTACTCCTCTGCGTGCCCCTTTGCCTTCTCCTCCTGAGTCCTCTCTTCCTGCGCTTGCCTACCCGGAGTCGGACTCTCTTCGTGCTGCCAATCCTACTGTCACGCTCCTTATTGCTACTGTTGTCACTAACCCCTCTTTTGAGTCCACTGCTGCGTCTGCTCTTGTTGCTGAGCTCGTCGACCTTGCTGCTCGCTGTCGTCTAGACTACGCTGCCAGTCTTGTTGCTGAGTCTGCGTCTGTCTGTCCTTCGTCCGTCGGGGGTGAGTGTGCTCTTGGCACGGACGTCCTTGAGGACAGGCAGGAGGAGTTACAGTGTCTGGCGGCTGCTTCACCTCATCTCGCGTCCGTACTACTTGCCCCTGAGGGAGACCCGGATGCACTAGACATCCCGACTCCACGCTCTTACGCGGAGGCGATAGAGGGTCCCTACTCCTCTCAGTGGCAGGCAGCTATGGATGCAGAGATGGCGTCCTGAAAGTCCACAGGCACCTACGTTGACACGGTTCCCCCTCCTGGGGCGAACATCGTCAGTGGCATGTGGATCTTCAAGGTGAAGCGGCCGCCGGGCTCTCCACCTGTCTTCAAGGCGCGGTACATCGCTCGTGGCTTCAGTCAGCGGCAGGGAGTTGACTACTTTCAGACCTTCTCTCCCACCCCAAAGATGACCACTCTTCGGGTGCTGCTGCACATAGCCGCTCAGCGCGACCACGAGCTTCACTCTCTTGACTTCAGCACTGCTTTCTTGCAGGGCAGCCTGCACGAGGAGATCTGGCTGCGCCGTCCACCTGGCTTCACTGGGACTTTCCCTCCTGGCACCCAGTGGAGCCTCCGACGGCTAGTCTACGGTCTCCGCCAGGCACCGCGTGAGTGGCACGACACACTGAGGACTACGCTTGCGGCTCTTGGGTTTGCTCCCTCTACTGCTGACCCGTCGTTGTTTCTGCGCACCGACAATTCTCTGTCGCCGTTCTACATCCTTGTGTACGTCGACGACTTGGTCTTTGCCACAGCTGACACTGCTGGACTCGCCTACATGAAGTCGGAGCTGCAGAAGAGACACACGTGCACAGACCTGGGTGAACTGCGCAGCTACCTTGGCTTGCAGATCACTCAGGACAGAGCACGCCGCACCATTACCTTGACTCAGTCACACATGGTGCAGCAGGTCCTTCAGCGCTTCGGCTTCACGTACTCCTCGCCTCAGGCCACTCCTCTGGCTACTCGCCACTCGCTCTCAGCTCTGCCTTCGGATGAGTTCGTAGAGTGGAGTGGCCCGTACCCAGAGCTTGTTGGCTGCCTCATGTACCTGATGACCTGCACACGACCTGACCTTGCATACCCTCTTAGCATTCTTGCACGCTATGTTGCTCCTGGGAGACACCGACCAGAGCACATGGCTGCAGCGAAGAGGGTGTTGCGCTACTTGTGCAGTACGTCGGGCATGGGGCTAGTGCTTGGAGGGCGGAGTCCAGTGGTCCTCACTGGCCACGCGGACGCTTCTTGGGCTAACGACCAGGCTACGCAGCGGTCGTCGCAGGGGTACACCTTCAGTCTTGGTTCTGGCTCTGTCTCGTGGCGGGCTACTTGCTCGTCTTCCGTTATTGGCTCCAGCTGTGAGGCTGAGATCTACGCCGGGGCCATGGCTGCACAGGAGCTTCGCTGGCTCACCTACCTGCTGACTGACCTTGGAGAGCCGCCTCGTTCTCCTCCAGTGCTGTATGTAGACAACAAGGCCATGCTGGCCTTGTGTCGAGAGCAGCGCTTGGAGCAGAGAATGAAGCACATTGCTCTCCGTTACTTTCTTGCTCGTGAGCTGCAGCAGCATGGTGAGTTGCGACTTGCGTACGTGGCCTCTGAGGCCAACAGTGCTGATGTTTTCACCAAGGCACTTCCGCCTTGTGATCATCAGCGCCTCTGTACTCAGCTGGGACTTGTACCTGTCTTACCTCACTTGCTCACCTCTTGACCTTGCTTGTACTCTTGCATATATATATATATATATATATATACCTGCTCTTGTTTGTTTAGCCTTATATATATATGTGTCTCCTCTTGCATGTGAATTGGCCTTGTGGCCTTGACCTTGTGCTCAGACTGTGTGGTGACGTTGTGATCCACCTTGAGCTTTGCTTTGCTTTGCTTGACTGGTCTTTTTTACCCCTTGTTCTCCCCCACTTTGCCTATGGGGGTGTGTCAGAACATTATAGCTTATGCTGTTGTGTAGGCTATAGTGGGGTATCCCATAGGG